GCATTTCCCCTGATAATCTTCCCTGTAGGCCCTAACTTTCTTGTTTCTGAAAAGAAGCTTGATTATCATTCCAATCACCCACATGGACACACACTACACATCCTTCATAGTAGACTTCAAGCCCTGAATTCTCCCTCAGGTCCTCTCCTGTAAATCCTACTTTAATGTCCCAATTATGAGTCGCGGCCATCACATGTTTCAACATTAGAAATATGCACACAATAAATGCTGGAATTTCCAGAGACCTCAGAATTCAGTTAGAACCACCTTCAGAGAAAACTTGGATATAAGAATGTGAAGATAATTGGGTGGGCAAGACTTCATTTGTCAAGGGAGAAGATAATGTCAATATGACTTATTTGATTTACTCATTTTTCCTCTGGTTATATCTTACCTTCCACAGTACAATATAAAATTGGAAGGACAATCACCTCCCTTAAGTTGCATCTCCAGTAGGCCCCAATACATGCCTAGACATACACAAGTTAATTGAATTAATAATGTTTCCGCAAGTCTCTGAGAGACAATATCTTTTAAATGGTTCTCAAATGAAAGTTGTCAGGACAGTGCATGAATAATTTGCTCTCTAGAGATAATATTGCACTGATGAATCCTTCACAGAGAACTACCTCCAAATATGAGAATTGTGTTATGGGGAGTAGCAGTTTGGGTTAGCTATGTTATTTCACATATGTTATAAATGTTTTCTCACAATATTTTTTTCTTCTATGTTGTCTTTACTCCATTCATAATATTTGTGATGAACCATAACTTTTTTTTTACTCTATTACATTGTGGGGGGAGAGTAATTAGGTTTATTTATTTGTTTCTTAATGGCAGTTCTGGGGCTTGAACCCAGGACCTTGTGCATTCTAAGCATGCACTCTACCACTGAGCTATGTCCTCCCCTGTGATGAACCTTAGAATGAGCAGGTGTTTGGCATCTTATTTTCTCCATACTTAATCTCTAATCCCTGTCTTCCTAAAAGTCACTGAGGCAATGAATACTCTCAGTCATTTTCACAGACAAAACAAAGGACAACTGTAAAAATTCCAATAATTTGACTTTGGGTTATCTGCAATCATTACAAATGACGTAAAGTCATCCCTCTAATTTTAA